ATCTATCTATCTATCTATCTATCTATCTATCTATCTATCTATCTATCCATTCAACAAATCATCTATCTGTTTTATATACACATATATGTGTGTATATCTGTGTGTATGTATGTATATATATATATATGTATATATACATATATGTATTTAACACCATCAGTCCAGTTATCTAAAGTTATGGTAGAAATATGGACATAAATATACATTCTGTATAGACTATAATATAGACATAAAATGTGCATATATATATATATATCCATCATAATCCTCTTTCTTCCACGGTTATATTTATTTTCATTACTTTAACACTATCATTTATATATGAAAATCTGAGACTTTTTAATTCATCTCATAAATTTACTTTGTGGTCAGATATAGCTCATTTCACTTCATCTTTACCTCATTTCACCAGTTTTAACTTCACACATGCACACACACACACACACATACAAACACACACACAAATGCACAGAAATTGTGTGATGGATTATCCAGTTGTCGAGACTTTTCAGTTGTATCTGACTCTTTGTGACCCCATTTAAAGTTTTCATCACAAAAATTTCCTTCTCTAGCTTATTATACAGATGATGAAACTGAGGCAAACAATGACTTGCCTAGGGTCACACAGCTAGTTAGTGTCTGAGGCCATGTCGAACTCAGGTCTTCCTGACTCTAGGCCTGGTGCTGTATCCACTGCACCATCTAGTTGCCCCCCACCCCAGTTTTTATGATTTTTAGCTAATTAATAAGTTTAAAAGCAGCTACCAAAAAATCAATTCTAAAAGTATCACCCCCTCGCCTTTCTGGAGGGAGAAAGGCTTTCACAGAATCACAGAATCAGAATAACAGAATCTGAGAGTTCAAAGGGTCCTCAGTTATCATCTAAACCAACCTATCCATGAAAAGAACCCAGAAAGGGAAAGAAGAGTGGGAGAGATGGAGGGAAAGAGAGAGTGAGAAAGGAAGGAAGGAAGGAACAAAGGAACGAAGGAACAAAGGAACGAAGGAATGAAGGAACGAAGGAAGGAAGGAAGCACTTACTATGTGCAGACCACTATGCTAAGCCCTGGGAATATAAATAGAAAAATAAGATGGTTCCTGCTCTCAAGAAGTTCATATGCCAATGGGGGAGAAAACATATACGGGAATTGTGAATTCAAATGATATCTTTGAACCTCAGTTTCTTCCAATATAAAATGAAAATGATAATCCCTTTAGTGGCCCATTTCATAGAATCATTGCAACAGTCAATAATTCTACTTTGTAAATCTTAAATCAATAATACAGGTAATTTATTGTTCTGATCTCCAGGGACTACAAGCTTAGATTTAGGGTGTTTGGAGCCTAGCTACAAGTGAATCATTTCACTAGTAGTGCCAAAGGAAAGATGATTTTCCTTAATTCTTTGTTGCAAGAGCAAAGATGGTTAGGGAGAGAGAACCACAGAAACATCAGGGAATTTTAAGGGTCTACCCTATACCACCAGTGTGCAGCAGCAACTATAACCCACACATACAATATGTGCTTATTGTATTACATATATGTATATACATCTCTCTCTCTCTCATATATATATATGTCTATCTATCTCTCTCTCTCTCTCTCTCTATATATATGTTTATCTATCTATCCATCTATTCATCTATCTATAATTTAAATCATGATAATGCCTTATATCGTCCATCTGGTTAGAGAAAATAAAGTCAACCATGGTCACAATATGATCCTTCACCCTTAGGAAACCATATATTCTAATATTGAATACTATTCTAAAATTCCTTGTCAGGGTTGATAAACAATACTAATCGGCATTATTCCATCTGCACTGGATGATAAATCCTATAGGAGCTAAAAAATTGATATTGTATTTTCTCTAAGCTTGAGGGCACGGCTTTGAGTAGAGCCCCCACTAAACTGAAATATAACTGAATCAGAATATTTATCTGGTAATCATAAATGGAATGCTGCCACCATGAGACAATAATAATAAATGAAACAGGAAAAAATAAGTACAAGGATAAGGAAAAAAATATTGAGGTTCCACAAGAAAATGAGACTAGAGACGAACAGATTTTAATGAAGTCCTGAATTCAGCTAATCATATGACTTTCCTAGAGAAAATTCACTTTGAAATTGTAACCTTATGAAAGAAATGAGGGCAGAAAAAAAATCTAGATTTATTGGTTTTTTAAAGTAATAATGAATTTATGCTTTAAAATTTCAGCCCATGCAAAAAGTAAGTTAACATGTTTTGAATTTTTGACAATTTAGCTTTTTCTCATCTACTCTCCATATCTCAGAAACAAGTCTATAAAATTAATTTTAACATTATGATCCTTTAAAAAAATAATCTGTCTCTGTATCTCTGGCTCTGTCTATCCTGCTGTTTCTCTCCCTTTCTCGGACTCTCTCATTCTTAACTTGATATCTGTGAATTTGTGTTTAAAAAATTGATAACTGAATTTCAATATAATTGGTTTCTTTTGTAATCCTATATATTTTCTTATGTATTTAAAAATTTGACTATGAGAAGGGATCTATAGGTTTTACCAGTCTCCTTTCTCCTCTTCTGTCTCTGTCTCCGTCTCTCTCTCATTTATCTATATAACTGCCTTTCAACCGTCTTATCTATCATCTATGTAGCGATCATTTATCTATGTATGTAGATGTCAGGCAGCTAGGTGGCACACTGGATAGAGAGGCAGTCCTGGAGTCAAGTAAGATCTGAGTTGAAATCCAGCCTTAGACACTTACTAGCTGTGGGACCCTGGGCAAGTCACTTAACCCTGTTTGCCTCATTTTCCTTATCTGTAAAATGAACTGGACAAGGAAATAGCAAACTGCTTCATTATCTTTGCCAAGAAAACCCCTGAACAACAACAATGTAGATAAATCACCTATCTCTTCTATAATTAATCTATCTATCCAATTATGGATCATCTGTTTATCTTATGTATCATCCATCTGACTACCATTTAATCTATGTATGTAGATATTACCTCTCTATCTCCTCTGATCATTTATCTATCTATTCAACTATGCATCATCTATTTGTCTTGTCTATCATCTGCCTAGCTAGTATTTATGTCTAGTTAGGCATATTTTATCTGTCTGTCTGTCTGCCTCTTCATCAGTCAGTCATTCTTTTGATAAAGCAGCTACCCTCCATCTATCTGTGTCCTTTCCTTTGGAAAAGGACTTAGGATGATGAAGCGGTGTCACACAGTGAGATGGATTGAGTCAACAGGAATAATAGAAACAAAAGGAAAAGCATGAATAACTTGGAACAAACTCCAGAGTCCTGGACTTCTAAGCTTCTAACGGTCTACATGAAATCATTCCCTCACTGTCAGTGAGTGCTCCACGCCAGCAAACTAGACATTCATGAGGTTCCACTGTGGGATGATGGACTAGTTCTAGCTAAGGAACAGACTAGTTTAGAATTCACTTTTTTGAGGGTTTCCTTTTCATATCATTTTGAAATCAATGATGCCTGGATATGGATGAGCTTGCCTACCTTTCATCAATTAGGTTTCTGAAGCTCCTCTTATTCCTAAGATATTCTTGCTATTACTATCTTAATTTGGCTCATTATATTGTGTTGAGGAGAGACAGATAAACAGAAACAGAGATAGAGAGACAGAGAAAGAGAGAAGACAGAGAGAAGGAGACAGGCAGAGAGATATTATGTTCTTTTCTATCCTTTATCCATATCTGTACTATTGAAATCTATACCATCAGTATCTATTTATTATTTATTTATTCTATTTTTTTAGGCAATTGAGGTTAAGTGACTTGCCCAGGGTCACACAGCTAGTAAGTGTCAAGTGTTTTGTCTGAGGCCAGATTTGAACTCAGTTCCTCCTGACTTCAGGGCCGGTGCTCTATCCACTGCACCACCTAGCTGCCCCCAACCATTGGTATCTAGATCTATATCTAAGAGGCAACATGGATAAGAAGCAAGACTTGTAATCAGGAACACAAGTTACAGGACATTGAATTTAGATTTTAACTTAGTTTCCACTTCACTGAGAAGGCTATAGCCAACTGAGATGAATTCTCTTAAATCTATTAATCTTCCATTCTTCCATATTTTTCAGAATCCTCATCCATTCTGTCCTCCTTCCCTTCTAATTCTGAGGAAGTGTCACCCATGTTCTTTGCTATAGGTAATCCCTCAACTTGGACCTCCAGGACCCTCTTGCCTTCTTCAGAAACTGGAACCAAGAATCATCCTTTCTGCCTCCCCATCTTTCCACAAACATGCTCAACTATCTCATAGCTTAAAAAAATAAGATTTGCCTTCCTTTGGTTCCCGTCTTGCAACCCTCTCTCCTCCAA